TATTTGCATTAAATCATCTAACTTCTATATTTCATCATTGGAAAACAATAGTATAGGAATGTTTATTCTTACTTTTGATGAACTTGAATAAGATACATCATTACTTTCTGCCATTTTGGTTAGAAAAGTACTGACAAAATGTTGACCCCAATTAGTTAATTTTATCTCCGTTATGATATTTATTTTTATGTTAATTTTTTTATAGATATAATGATAAAGTCACATGTTAATTGTTTAAAACAAATAAAATATTTTAAAGCAATATAAACCCGATTTTAAATTTTGTGTTTTAAACATTTGCCATCCCTAGTCAATCGTCACCACTAAATAAAGTATTACATAATTACTTAAATCACCGCCCTAAAAAATCTTATGGTGAAACTCAAAAATTCAAAGTTTATCTAAAACTGCCTCTGCATAATAAAAAGTTTTTCTTACGGAAATCGTTCATTAGCAAAACATGTGTCTTAATAAATTTGTTCTCAGATAATAAAATACGTAAAACTTTAGATAAAGCTTATTCGCTAACTTTATGTGATCGCGAAAAATTCCGCCACGATTATACTGCATTTTTTATTGTAAAATTCGACAAGCCGTCTTGCGTCTACGCAAAAATCATGATTTAAATGGTTCACCACGAAATTCCGACATCCAAATCCCGACAGTCATAAGCCCGACACTTTACTTATTATTAATTATTACGCAAAAAATGATAAGAAATAATTGGAAATAATAAAAATAATAACTAAACTTGCCCATCTCTAATGACAATTCATCATAGAGACATCGGGATTCTGTCGGATTTTGTTTGTTTCGTGATAATTATTTATGTTGGGATTTTGGATGTCAGGATTTTGTGGTAGAACTAATTCAATTTTTTTTTTTAAAAAAAAAAAAAGCTATATAATTTGTTCAATTCTAGAATACGATTAGGCATGTACAGTAAAATTAATATCATTGTCAAATTTTGGACGTTATATAAAATGATTTATTATTAATCAAGGTGCAAATTTTGAAAAATTTTATTTCTCTATGCAAATTTCCCGGTTGTTTAAATTACGAACTATTTGTTTGTTTAATTACTGATTACGTACGCGCATTTAACTATGTTACTGTCGCAGTTAAAATTGGGAGGAATAACGATAAAAAAATAAATGTTGGAGTAGTAACTGGGGCTTTTTAAACGACGAATTACAAGTGACTATGGATATTGAAGCTTCTACATGTAGTTTAAAAGTCGTGCCATTTGAATCTTGGCCAAAACGTCTTTTATACTGCTTCTTAATCTAAAGCTTTAGATAACGATAACGATAAGAATCAATTATATAAAACCGGTTATATTTGAAGCTTATTCCTGAAATGATCACAGATAATCGATGTACTGATTTCAAATTTTGGACTACAGTATACAGTATACCGATACATATATTGATAGATTTTCTATCTGTTGTTGTGTATAACGTTAATGTATCCCTCGACTTTTAAGTCTATATCATCTTTCTAGACAGAGCATTTAAAGCCAAAAATCGTTCTTAGTTTTGAAAATCGATTAATGCCATTCATAAAATTATTACATGTTTAATTGTTTTGGTAAACGCTATTTGTTTCTAAAAATAAACCTTGGATGATAAAGTATTTTGTATTGAAATTAGATTATTAGCTTATCAAAATCACTAAGTCAAGAAACATAATAAAAGGTATTGTAGTTTCTGTTTTAAAAACTTGTCGACTCTTAGAATAGAATTCAACATTAACTTCAATTTCTGGAATTAAGACAGATGGTGTGTCCACAAGAAAAATTTTTGCTTAGAATTTTTTAATAAAGATAATATAAGTACGTAATTAAGTACGCATCCTGTATAATTGTATATTCCCGGAGTATTTCACCTTATTTCCGAAAAAAAAAATTAATATAAATAAACATGTTTAACGTTAATTATTTATTTACATTTACAATGTCACAAATAATTTTTTTGGGAAACTTATTTTGATCAACATAAAACTCTCGTTTTCTTAATAACTGTGTAGCAGAGAGGTTTTAATATCAATATCAATCCTTTATATTATTTCCTTGACTAAAAAGACATCAAAGATATTTTATAATGAAATCGAATAAAGATTATTATATGGATCCAAACTTTCTACCTCAGAAAGTTACTATGGCCAGGTTGCGGGAAATTTTAGATGCGCATGATATAAGTTATAATGGTAAAGAAAGGAAAGCAGGTCTCGTAGAAATATTTAATACGCAAATTCGGCCGCTTATACCATCTTTACGAGAAAAAGAAATGAAAAATCAGTCGTTGAAGGAAAACAAAGCTACATCTTCTGGAGCATCTTCACATGTATCAAAGTATTTCTTGAATTTAATAATTTTGAAGTAGATTCTTTTACACATTTGAATTCACAATATTTCTTTCCTTTTGGTATAGTCAGATCAAATTATATCTAAAGTGGCATCTACATCTATATCAAAGAATATTGAATTTTCAAAGATTAAAAATAAAAGTCGAAGTAATATGATTCGTGAGAATCTCAATTTATTCAAACTATTCGAATTAATAAAATCACAATTATCACTGCGAGTATGGAAAATTATTTACAAAACAGTTTTTTTAACGTTAATATTTGGTTTGTTAATCAAATATTATATTCAATCTGAGATGAGTGCTGGTTTCTGTGATAATCAGTTACAAAGGAGTACCAAAAGTAAGGCTTGATAATACGTAATCTTAATAAAATATATTATTATAAACATGTTATTATATATATTAAATTTTTTTAACTTTATAGATTCTTTTTTTGAAGATAATTGTACTCCCTGCCCGCTTCACGCTCACTGCTCGAAGGGTAAGATCACTTCGTGTGATGAAGGTTTCGCGTTAGCATCTTCATCAATTCATTGGCTCAAACCTTTCACCAGTAGATGTATATTCGATTTTACCCGTGAGCGGAAGGTTAAAGAGTATACAAGACTGCTCAAAAGCATTGCTATTGAAGAAATTAATAAATCTGAATGTGAGGGTGGTCTTCGTGAAAATTTATTATTTCAGAACCTCCTGGTTTTACTCCATAGCAAGAATTTGGTAAGTAACTGTCGCAAATTATCGTGAAATTGGATCTTTATTTACGATTTTTAAAAGTTTCTGGAGTCTTTTCTGTCAGCTTTTTTTTATAGTTATGTTAGG